GGGGGGGGGAGGGAGGGGGGAGCAGCGGGAGGCGGGTCGCGGGAGGAGAGGCATGAGGCGTAGCGGAATGAAGGTGGGTTGCGGTGGTTGTGGCGGTGGTTGCGGTTGTGGTGGTGGTGGTGGTGGTGGGGTTAAGACCTACTCATACATTTGTATGGGTAGCAGTGATAAGGCATTGCTGCCACCACGAAACAGTGCAGTTAGATACTTACAGGAAGCTCTAGTGCTCTGATGTGGAAAGGCGGATGAGAGCTCCGAAAACCCCCAGGCTGCCAAAGCCAACCTGGTTAGCCGGGCCCATCAACCACATTAACCATCAACCGACTAACTGTCGAGACCCACTAGTACCAACCGAACCAACCTGCCGCAAGTTGCTCTCCCCTGCATGTATGTATATCGGTGGGGAGGAGGGAGGGAAAGAGGGGGAGAGGGGTTAGTTAAAACCACTAAACAAAAGGTGGACACACAATATGCTGTACGGACGAGCTTCCGTACAGAAAAGATTTCCCGTACATTGGTAGTCAGTCATGCGCCTGCAAATCCCAGGCAAGGTTTGTTACCCCAGCCAGCCCTAACGACAGCGTCTCCCTAGCGACAGGCGATGTACCCTTTGGGCTCGGCTTCCTGGTTGCATTACGGCATAGGAACGTGGTAGCCCACCGTAACAACAACGACAACAACATCCCCCCCCCCGCAGCAGCATGCCCAACAAGCCCCACATCCTCCCTAACCCTATAGAGCTCTTTCCCATCCCCATCTCCATCGCGCCTCCGATTACAACGCCCCAACCCTTCCTCCCCCCACTCGGGCATTTAATACCCTGGGGAGTATGTACGACACTACACTGCACGACACGTACCTCCCTGGAGAGCCAGGGGGTGTATTCGCGGCGCCGGAATGGGCGTCGTGGGGGTCGCAATCACATGGACCTACGTGGCCGGAGGGGGAGTGTGTGTGGGGGGGGGGATAGGGGGAGTGGGTTAGGGGCCCCGGGTGGTTTCGGAACTTCCGTACAACCCTGTCGGACGTTCCCTCGCTGGTGGCCCCCTCCCCCTCTTTCTCAGGGAGGTGTTATGTCCCCCCCGGGGCCCTAACCCCCCCCCTGGTCGACTCCGGTAAGCCACCTGCCCACCCGCGCCGTTAAACCCACTCCGTATAGTGTACCCGCAGTAATCTCCCGTGCCTGACTGGACACATACACATACACACACACGTCCCCCCTCCCCCTCCCGGCCGCACCCGCGCCCGCACCCGCCTCCTCACACTCACTCACCTTGCTCAGCACCCTCCTGAAATGCACATTGGCACGAGCGCGAATACGCTGAGCCTGGAGGGGGGGTAATGGCGGTAATGGCGGTGGAGGGGGAGCGTGCGCTGTGTTTTGGGTTTGGACCCGACAGCCGGACACCTCCCCCCTTTCCAACACGAACTTAACAGACCACCCTGGGGCCACTGCCCAATTAGTACGGCAATGTCGTACCCTTCCTGCCGCGACTTAGTCCAACAAAATGGAAAAGAGGGAGGAGCAGCCACCACCGGGGGCCGAACAGCGAAGGGAGGGGGCGAGTAGCAGTAGTAGCGCTTCGGCAGGCGGGGCCAGGACATGAAATCTTAGCTGCTGCTGCTCCTGTTCATGGCTGTAGATCGCTCTCGTGCCCTCCCCGCCCGTGTGTGTGTGTGTGTGTGTGTTTGCAACCCACAACCGGCCCACCTTCCTACCCCCCTTTTTGAGAATTGCCCCCCAACCCTGCGCACATCCCGCTCCTTACCCCCTCCCCCTTTCCCGCCCTCTTCTCCCACCTTCGCTGCGCACCTCCCCCCCTGGGCCAGTACGGCCCACTGGAGTACCCGACAACGGAAACGCAGCAACCGCCGCCAAGATCGCAACCGCCGTACATTAACAACCACCTGCCTGAAGGTAATCCGCCGGGCTCCAGAATCGGGCATTGGCCAGCGCCAGTCGTACGTCCGGGTTGAAGGCAGCGCGGAGGGCGGGGTTGTCGTACCGCTCCTGGACGAGAGCCGTAGAAAAGGGTTCCCACCACACAAAGCAGTCAGGCCCGGGTTAGGGTCCCCCACCCGCCCCGGGGGGAGACGGCAACTTTGTTTCCATCACGGTGCCCCCCACAGGGCCCCCCTCCGCACACACACACACACACACACACACACACACACACACACACACACACACACACACACACGCGCGCGCGCGTGGGGGAGGGGAAGGAGGAGGGGAAGGGGTGGGAGAGGTAGAGGCGGGGGCGGGGTAAGGGCCTCCCTCAGCCCGTATGTGATAGCGGGCTCGGTCCACTTCCGCCCTTCAGTTGCAGGGGGGTTAGTGAATGAATGCAGGCAGCCAACCCCACAAAACCCTAAACCCCTAACTCGTTCCCCGCATCCCGTCCTCCCCTCCTTTTCCCCCATGGGCTCAAACTCATATTGGCAACCGCTCCAACCAACCGCCCCAACCCCCAACGATTACCTCACAAAACACGTCACAGTTGTCACGTTTCTCAAAAGTGCCATACCCCATTGCCGTACAAACCAGTAAAACACGTACCCGGAAGTTGTGCAGCATCTCGCTCACAATGGTGACAGTGTGCGCCACCCGCAGATGCTCCAGCTCCGGAACCACCACTGGAACCAGTTCAGCGCCCAGGGACTGCAGCTCCGAAACCGCAGTACGACACACCGTCACAACGGACGGGGAAGCGTGGCGAAACCACTACAAGAAGAAAGAGGGTGTACGGAGAGCAGTATGATTAGTGTTGTATGTGGGTGTATTGGTAGGTTGTGGGGGGACGGGAGCGATTCAGTGAACGTTTTGTGGTCCCGCATACGACATGCGCGTCGACTTGTACGGCATCATGGCACACGTGCATACACAACCCTCTTCCACACAAGCCCTTCCGCAGCTTCATGCCGTACCTCGTCGTACACGCCAACCCGCAGTCCTTTCAGGGGCTGCCAAGAGCCGCCGCCGCCGTCGTCACCTCCCGGAGGCCCCCGGGGCAGCGGCGATGGCGGCGGTACGGCGGGCCATGGGGCGGGCAGCAGCGGCATCTTAACGCCATCGTACGGCACCTCCCCCGCCGCCAGCGGGCCCTGCACACTCATCACAGCGTGGAGTAGCGCCACGTCCTGAACGGCGGAACAGGGACAGCGAAACCCAGGATGGTGTTTCAGTACGGCAAAACACACACGCACACGCACACACACACGCACGCATACGGTTAGCAATCCTGGACCCCCACAAGCGCCCCATGGTGAAAAGCTGAGTAATGCTCTGCACCTTTTCCGCACCCCTCGTCCCACCTTCCCCGCTTTCAATGGGCTAAACCTCCCACCCCCTCCTGCTCCACCCCACCCACCCACCCACGCGTGTTCATGTTCGTGTTTGTGTGGTCGCATGTTTGTGCGGTGACGCGTGTGGGTTTGTGCGTCTCCTTTCCTTTCCCCACCTCTCACTCCCGAACAACCCCTCATCCCTCCCACAGTTTCTTTCCTCTCCTCCTCCCCCCTTCGTACGGCCGTACCTGAACACACCCCGCCAGTGCCCCCATGGTCGCCACCGTGCAGTCCACCTCCACCGCCCCCGCACCCCCCACCCGACCCGCACCCGGCTTGAGTCCCACCAGGCCGCAGAAAGAGGCGGGGATGCGGATGGACCCGCCGCCGTCACTGCCTAGACGGAGTATGGCGTGTGCGTGTGTTTTGGGATGGGGAGGAGAGACGGGCGGGGGGGGTCGCAGGAAGCAGGTTGGCGGCGGTTATGCGTCGGGTTGGGCGCGAGAGAGCGGGAAAGGGGGAAACAAAACCCGGGGTAAGCCAAAACCCTGAGTAAAACTCAGAGGTATCTGCACACAGGGTGGGGTTGGGGTTGGGGGTGGAGGGGAGCGAAGGGCGGGGCCCCGTCACACCCGCCCCCGCCCAGAGGCAATAGATGCAGCCCCCCTCGTCCCTCTCTCTCTCTCTCTCTCTCTCTCTCACACACACACACACACACACACACACACACCACACACACACCCCTCCCCCCCTTCCCCCCGGCCCACTCACCAACCGCGATGGGACACAGCCCCGCCGCCACCACCGCCGCACTCCCGCTGGAGGACCCCCCCGTGTAGTGACCCGGGTGACCCGCGGACGCACCGTGCGGGTTTATTGCGGTGGCCCCCGCCCGCGTGTTTAACCCCGTGATCCCCAGCCCGATCTCGTGCATGGAGGTCTTGCCCAGGAGTACGGCACCCAGGGAGCGGAGGGTGGCCACGAAGGGGGCGTCAGCGGTGACGTGGCGCCTGGGGACCCGGGAGGGCCGAGAGGAGGCGTATGTATGTATATATGTATATATGTCAAAATATATGTATGTATGTATGTATGTATGTATGTACGATAAGAGCCGCGTGTAGGGGATACGCGGCCAAGGGGGAGAAGACGCGGGTAAGCTCAGGCCGGAACATAACCCTAGGCCGATAGACAAGCCGGGGGGCAACAGAAGAGAAACCGCCGGGCCTCCTTTTCGACCTCTTCCCCACTTCAAATCACCACCATCGCACCAGCGCCCCCAACACAACATACATACACACACACCTCCACCCCGAACACGTTATCACTCACTGGGCTGCCACAAAAGTAGTCCCGGCTGCCGTACTGTACGGCAGTGCATCCGCCACGTCCTTAACGGCAAAGGGCACACCCTCCAGAAGCGACCTGGGTCGGCCCTCGCGGAGCCTGCGGAGTACGGCAGGCATAGTCATCCCCGAATACGAGGGCCAACGTATTGCATGTTGATTAAGTGCTCGTCCTGTAGTGTAGTACGGCAAGTGCGGCGCGGGAGGAGCAGACCGGAATTGGCCAGAGGACAGTGACTGATACGGTAGTGCGTTACAAAGATTAGCTGGGAACAAAGCGCTGAATCCAGACAACGCTAGTTCGCCAGTCAACCGTGCAAGCAAGCGCAAGTCAGAACGTCGTCTGTTGGGGATTTTGAATTGTTTAAATAGTGATTTACTTTGTATTCGGGACCCAGCTCAATAGTAAAGTAGATAAGGCGATTTGACGTTGCTGGCATATCGGTCTCCAGTAACAGCGAAGTGATGGCAGAGCGCGAGCAATCGCGCGGCGGAGGCCAAGAAGGCTTGGAGGACATCCTCCAACAGCGGGACGAAGGAGGACACCAGAATGGCGGAGCACCTAGTTACCCGGAGGGGGCCGATGCGGTGAGTAACAGACGCCAGCTATTGCTCCGCGCGGTCAGACTGTAGGCACAGCCAGCCGGGGGATCCGCAAGTTCTGTTATATCAAAGGCATGGGAGAGACCGGACCCAGTTTAAAATAGCGGAAAG